GCTTACAGATTTAGCGCCGAAAGGTCTTAGGATTGCAGGAATTTGGAAATATTAGTAAACAACTCAACACAAGTTATGAACACATGTACCCCATTACCCGTCTAAATGATATTCAAGGCCTACTTATAGCCAACGCCCTTTATGTACCCATGCCAAATCGTTTTCTATTGTCACATTCGACCAACACCACACTCGCCGGCCACCATAGCTAAACCCAAACACCCAGCCATAAAAACCAACAGCTAATATTTCAATCAACGTAACCCAGAACACCATCACATCCCGATACCCAAACACACTCCATAAACAGATTACTCAAGAAGACACGATCCCTTACCATAAAAAAATCAACTAAAACATTAAAAGAGATAAATAAACAAAAACAAAACCAATTAAATGTAAAACATCGCCCTCAACAGGTACCCTCAGAATATCCCTCAATGAGAAATCGCCGGAAAGATACATGTTGCTGAGAACGAGTTGATTTAAAAAAAAAAAAAAAAAAAACCTAACCGTAAGGATAGGATAATAATTCCAAAAACTGCATATAAAAATGTCATGTCAGGATCCAAACTTATAATTTCATAAAACTAAGACATTTATCCAGAAAATACACAACCAGAACATATTTATAGGGTGGAAGATTCAAAAGGTGTTTTACCGAATATTTCTCCATTTACATCATTACATTAAGATAAACATCGAGATGGACAATAATCATCTCCCACCTTTCGCTATGGCGTGAGCCCCCCCCTGTCCCTCTAGCATCTAGCTCCTGGTACTACCTGCAAAGCAATCAACAAGAAAGGGTGACAGTTAATCCTCATAAGGAATGCTCATTTCATTCTAGACTTGCTATTGTGACTTTATTAAACATATTGGTTAACACAATCACCTTCTCTTTTTCATCTAGGCGATCTTCCCCTTTTTTTTCTTGCTTTCATATGCTTTCCATCATTTTATCCCATGGCTAACACATCAATCAGCATAACCACTACAAATAAGATGTAACATATACACACATTTACATATCATGATAAACATCTAAATACATTAAGACGATATAAATCATCTTGATGTAATCATCATAAATCTATGTAGTGCAACTACTACTCTATAAGCATTGATAATGTGTAGCTCGATCGGATCTTTTTAGCGTCTTAACACTTATATCATCTAGCCTCAAATTTATCCTAAATACTCATATCATCAGGCTGCTTCGCGTTATTAAATCTAAAGTATATATCATCTGTCCGTCAACCGGTATATACGAGGTATGCTTACGCGATTCCCATCTATTTATATGACATTCTATCATGTCATATGCATCTCTAACATCTATGAGCATAAGTAAACATATTTTGGTAGCTTATACTTTTAATTCATCTATGGATTAATCAATCCATTTAAACAGGTCTGCTTGCTCACTACATCACTCTTAAAAAGTATTCGATCTTATGCATTTCATAATCATTAATCATGCTGACATCATGACCAGTGATATACTTTCAAAAGAATCATCTAACTAATTGGTAAACATTAGTAATGACATAATTGACAATAATACATTCATAATCAAGTCTATAGAATCATAAGAATTATCATGTAAATCAGTATAAACTTTACATAATCATTATACTTGGCCATTTTTCCATCATTTCATATGAATGGCTTTTGGCATAAACATAAAAGTTTATAGGGTTGTGTCTTACTTTTAATGCTCTCAATAATCATGCTCATTCAAATTTGATAACTCAAAGTGATGGTCGAAATACTGAAACCGATGTTGAACATAACCCCTAAGCTTACTAACTCCGAATTTTGTATCTAACTATGCCACATCATTATTGGAACAATTACCAATAGGTAACTTAGGATCAAATAAATCCTTCCCTTAAATAGTTTTATACATCTAAGAAATTCATAAATCTATTCCACCCATAATATCCATTGTATTATTATAGACATTGTAAGCTAATGACAAACAACACCTCAACCTTTTAATAGCAACCTTCAACACTATGTGGACCTCCAATCATAAGTATCCACAATCAGTCAATCCATACTTCATTTTCTTCATAAACAAATAACAAATCATAAAACAATAAATAGCACATACTTCATGTTATAATGGGGGGGGGAAATTCAAGATAATAAGTAGAATAAATGACGTTCAGCTCATTGCCTCACCTAATTCTATGCCTTAAAGCCATTAATAAGGTTCATAAAAATTTATCAAACCTTTAAAGGCAAAAAAAAAAATTACAATTCACCTAAAGTCATGGGGTTCTCTTCTTACGCTTTTTAATAGAACAATCCTCCAACAAAAATCCTTGCCTTTGTCTTTTTATACAACCTTAATAACAATTATAACATTTACCTCAAAATCTACTATCAAATCTAACCATCAAAACTAGGGTTTTAAAGATCCTTCACTAAGCACTCTTAAATGAATATCCAAGGCTCCTCATTTGTTCTCCTTGACTTAACCAATAGCAAAACTCTTTATAAACTTAGAGAACAGAAGCTTGTTTCAGGGAAGATTTTGAGAGAAATGAAGAAAGAAATGCCCTCTCCTCCCTTGCTTGAACGAATTTCATCTATTTAGGAAATAGTTTCATATTTTCCAAATTTACTATTGGCCCAATATTTAATTGTATACTATATTAGTCCTTAATCTCACAGAGGGCATTTTTGGTCATTTCAGCACTAGACATAATTATTACGATATTAATGCATTAAATCAATTTAAGGCTACTATGCCTTGCTTTTCAATGCTTTATCCATAGCAAAAATGACCATTTTGCTAATAATGCTTTTCATTATGCGAATTGCTTCATACGTTGTCAATGAAGGGTACTTTTTGCCCTTAGTTAATAGTTTTATCATTTTTACATAAAATTTAACATTAAAGGCCTATTTTGATGAGGAAACATAACTTTGACATCTTAGGGTATGAACAAAAAATCATCAACACCCAATTGAAAAAAAAAAATTGACGGGTTAGGAAGGTGGAACGTCCACTGCGGCTTGGCAACAGGGTTATGCAGTGAGGGTTTGAAGAGAGGGTTTGAGGGAGTACGACGGTGGTGCCAGGGAGTTCAATGTACACACTCAACTCGTGGAGACTGAATGGGTGCGAAATCAACAACATCCAGCCATTTTGGGGTATCAGGTTTGTGAAAACGCGTAGAAATGATAAAGTATGAATCCGATCGCTTTTGTTAAAAAAATAGACCGAAATATCACTTTAACATAGCGGCAAGCACTATGGATGGCGGTGTAAATGAGGTGAAGATGCAATGTTTCATCACATATTAGGGATTGATGGGTCGTTTTGAATTTTAGACATGTCAATGACTATTTTATCGCTAATTTAGTGTGTAAATGGAAATACGAACATGGTTTTTTGGTTTTTTTTTTTTTGTAAATTTATTTAAAAAATTTAAAATGAATTGGGCCTTTTTTGGCTTTTTGTGGACACCCTTTTGAACCATTTTAGATAAGAATTATAAAGTTTTTTGGTCCATGGTATTTCAATATAAATCTTATAAAAAAAAAAAAAAAAAAAACCACACTTAAAATAATTTGGGCTCCTTTTTTGGGGCCCCCATTCTTTTTTGGTTGGGGGGTGTGGGGTGGGGGTTGGCCTTGGGCCTCCCCATTCTATTGTTTGATTGTACCTTCTATTATTTGTCATATTTAACAATAATCTCATAAAATTGGTGAACTTCAAGTGATCTTAAAAATTCTTAATATCAAATAGCTTGTCAGAACTCATTCTAAATCTTTGTTTATAAAATCCATTTATACAACTTCTTGTTATTTATGTATGTGCACGGCAATTTACTGTAATTCTTGGCGCATTTTTGTTGGATCAGGCATTGTTCAACAAGGGAATAAGTGGAACTGATGCAGACAAGGCAGTAAAACTGGTTTTCCAGGATGCTGAATCTGATGGAGAGCAAGAATCAAAACTTGGCATGTCAAAGCATTCAATGGATCAACTTTTTGTTCAGGCCAAGAAGCAATGGCTCCGAAGTCAGGATGCACCAAAAGAAACACGTAAAACAAGGATTATTCGTTGGCTTCAGTACCGTGGTTTCAACTGGGGAATTTCTAGTTTCATATTGAAGAAGTTAGAATCTCATTACCCTACCTAGAGCACAATAAATGAATTCTCTTCGAACATGTTGTTGATGGAATGATATGATCCATAGCCCATTATCTTGAAATGTAAGTTTTTGTATGAAAAGGTTTCATTACACCCACCATTGGAACATGCTGAAATGGTCAAAAGGTTAGTTGCTGGAGCCCACAACAGAGACAAAGGTGTGTTTATAAATTATAAGTGTATGAAATGGCCAAAAGGTTTTTTATTTTATTTTTTATTTGCTACTTTTTCTTTTAACTATTTCTAACTTCGATATGTTTGTGATGCTATTTAAAAAATAGTAGACCTTAGTTACTTGTTCACGAGTAGTTTAACACAAATACTTTTTTCTAATGAACAATACTACGTATCATAAGTTTTGAAGCTCGCAATTTCTTCATCTATTATGTCATATGTCATATCCTTTTTGTAGAGAATGGATTAAAGCTGACTTAGATTAATCTGAAACTCATTTGGAGCAAATACAAACTCGTGTTCTAAATTTTTGAGTGGTTTCAGTTAAGTTTGTATAAATTTAAAAGAAGTTTATTAAAGAAATGGAATACATATATCACGTTTGTAGTTTTCTTTCTCTATCATCTAGCTTAACAATGCGTATAACTGAGTTTTTTAATGGAGTGTATTTATCTTTACATGTAAATATTTGTTGATTACATGCACGAGACTTGGAGAGGCATAAAATTTTATAAATCCTAAATAGAATACAAAAAATCAATTTTGGGTATTCAGGTTAATACATTGGGCTAAAGGTCAAGATTAATTATTGTCAAACAGTTTAAGGAATCAGAAGTCGCCCAGACTAAAGAAAGATTCTGAATATTGCCTGTTAGCTTATTGTTCCTGGCAGGGATTACATGATCAAGCTTTTTAGATTGCTACTGGACCAACAGGAATCTCACCCGAAAATTTATTGTTGTTAAAGTACAGATGAGTCAGCTTTGTGCAGTTTACAATTTCAACAGGTATTATACCTGACAACTGATTATGTGAGATATCCAATACTTTCAGCTCTTTGCAGCTTCCAATATCACCTGGAATTGCACCCACTAAACTGTTGTTCCATAATATTAGTTCCTGAAGCTTCACAAGTTTTCCAAAACTTCTCGGTATGCTGCCAATCAGAAAATTATTCGAGACATAGAAGTGTTTCAATTCTGTGCAGTTTCCAAAATCGTCAGGAATTGCACCCTCAAAGCCGTTACTCCATAAGCTTACATATTGAAGCTTTGTAAGTTTTCCAAAGCTTCTCGGTATGCTGCCAGTTAGACGATTCATTGCGATATCCAAGCTTGTCAACTCTGTGTAGTTTCCAAAATAATCAGGAATTGCACCCACTAAACTATTGTTCAATAACATTAGTTCTTGAAGCTTCACAAGGTTTCCAAAACTTCTCGGTATGCTGCCAGTCAGAGAATTATTTGTGGCATAAAATTTTTTCAACTCTGTGCAGTTTCCAAAATCGTCAGGAATTGCACCCTCAAAGCTGTTACCCCATAATCTTACATCTTGAAGCTTCTTTAGTTTTCCAAAACTTCTCGGTATGTTGCCAGTTAGAAGATTTGTTGAGACATCAATAAATATCAGCTCGCTGCAGTTTCCAATCTCTTCTGGGATATGACCTGACAGTTGTGTTTCATAAAGGGATAACTCTTGAATTCTTTTGAGCTTTCCAATTCGACTTGGGATTGGGCCAGAGATTGAAGTATTAAACAAGTACAGGGTCTGCAATTGGTTGCAATTTCCAATCTCTTCTGGGATATGACCTGATAGTTGTGTGTTAGAAAGCTCTAAATCTTGAATTTTTTTTAGCATTCCAATTTGACTTGGGATTGGGCCAGAGATTGAGGTACTATACAAGTACAAGATCTGCAACTCGCTACAGTTTCCAATCTCTTCTGGGATATGACCTGACAGTTGTGTTTCATAAAGGTGTAGCTCTTGAATTCTTTTGAGCATTCCAATTGATGAAGGAATACTTCCAGAAATGTTGTTTTCCGTGAAGCTTAAATAAACTAAGTTGGTGCAGTTTCCTATCTCCATTGGTAGTTCACCCTCTAGATAATTCCGGTCTGCCTGAAAAGTCTGTAGGTTGCTCAATTCTCCAATAGTTTTTGGAATTTTCCCATTGAGTTGATTCTCGTAGAGCATCAGATCTGAAAGGTTTGACAAGTTTCCAACGCCGAAAGGAATTTCGCCTTTAAGAAAGTTCGTGTTGAGATATAAACCTTGCAATCTATTTAGCCGGCATATTTCCTTGGGGATTTCACCTGAAAGAGAATTGTCACTGAGATCAATGAAAGTGAGCTTGTGATATTCTCCAAGTTCTTTTGGGATTGTGCCCGTGAGATTGCAAGATGATATAGTAAGATTCTTCAAGGACTTGAGAGATTGAAAATTTGAAGGCAATGGACCTTCCAATTCTACTCCTTTCAGGCTTATATTCGCCACTTCTCCCTTTGAGTTGCAGTATATCCCAAACCATTTGCATGGACTGGAGTCTGTAGAATTCCAATTTTTCAATGCATCAGTGGGGCAGCTTAAACTTTTCTTCCATGTTAAAAGAGCTTGGCCTTGTTCATCAAGAGAATAACAAGGAGAGAGCATAAGAGAGTTTATTGACAGAACCAAGGTGATGAAGGAGAAGATTTTTGGATAAAACAAGCGATTCATTACTGTTTTAGGCATTGCTTAGAGATGAGAAGAGAGGTGGTGATTTATTTTGGAATTGTGAAAGAAATACAAGGGCAAGTATTTAAAAACTCATTCCATTTCCCTGTTCCCGCACACACAAAGGACATGCTTTCCATTGTTAATTAATGCAATGTAACTTGAACAAACAATTCTTTAGGAATTTTTCAGTAAATTTTCAAATTTGACGAGAGGAATGTATGTGCTAGTTTCAGAAGTTGGTGGTGTAAATTATTGACTGTATTAGCTAATGAACTGAAAGTCTCTTTTGATTGAGACACAATCATTTTATATTATATAGTATATACCAATTTTCATTGTTATCTTTTTGAATCGTCATTTAAATATTGATACTTTATTTCTATTGTTTGTTTTTGAATGATGAAGATGTTAAGTTTCTGGTAGTGGGGAGTTGCAAATGTCATTAACCTTCTAATTAGATATTGAACTTAAACAACCCACGACTGTAAATTCCACCATAAATAATGGCGTCAAAAAGCCAATCGTGTGGAACAACGCCACAATAATAACATACATTTTAAATGATATTCTGATTTCACATTTTAAATAAGGTTTTATAATATTTAAAGTTGAATGTAATAAAGTGATGATATATCAATTACGATATGGCGATGTAAGAACCCTGTTTGAGTTTGTGTATTGCATATATATGACATGACCTTATAGGAGGAAGAAGTGTAAAGAAGGAATTTACAAAGAAAGTAGAAGAGAGAGAAGTGTTATAATATTGCATAATGCAATTCTCAGGATATGTTTTCTGAATTTTCTGTCATTTTCCCTCATTTTCTCTCGATCCAAACATCGCAAATCATCACTTAATATAAGAAAATCTTTATTGAAGTTCAGTCGAGACTTTTACGGGAAGCAATAACCATTCTGAGTGTTAATAAAATTAAATAATCTCACAATGTTCACTATAATAACCCTTTCTCGTTCTATTGTTGATTATACATTCTATTTTTGTTATATTTTACAATATCTCATAAAAATTAGATAAGCTTTATGTGATATTAAAAATTCTAAGATCAAAAGATCTTATAGAACTCAATTCTAAGTCTTTGTTTACAAAAGCCATTTATTTATGTATTTAGCATGACAATTTACTCGTAAATGGATCTCGTCTGCCAGCTAACCAATAAAGAGCTATCACGTCAGGCTTTGTGACAAAAGATTATTAGATTGAGTTGTAGACCTATCATTACTCTTAAATTAAATAACCGTATTGTGGGGGGCATTTATGTGATTAACCAAGAATCTGGACCCTATACCGATGTAACCAATTAACTTAGTTAATTACAATTTTACCCTCATCCCTAACCTCCCAACACTTTATTCATGACCCTATGAATTTCTAATTCTCATTTGCAAAATCTCACACCTAAAACACGATATCTAGCAAGGAAAACCAGTATATCCAACTATTAAGATGGTTTTTAACTTTAAATTCTTAGATTTAGCATTTTCTATAATTTTAATTCGGAAGGATTGTGTCTTTTTAGTGTGTGAACTTTTTGTTAACGTAAGGATTGTTTTAAGAATTATGAGTGAATAAATGATGTAATGTTTGTGGTAATATAGTAGATTTAGGAATGTATTATTTGGGAAACCATTGTATAGAGAAAAACCCGATAGTTGGCGTGAAGTACGATACAGGGAATTATTTACACATATTCCCCAATTTGGGTGATGTTATACACCAAGTCAAAGATTTCACACTAATAGCGTGAAAAATCACATCAACTCAATTTTTTATATTTAGATAAAAGAAGTGATAACTTAGAGTTTCAAGCATTGCTTAATGAGAATATGTAATTTGTTTTGAGATTGTGGAAGAAAATTAAGCACAACCCACTTGTGGTATTTCCACCATAAATAATGGTAATTGAAAAAGTGAAACGTGTGGCACAATGCCACAATCACCACCAAATCCATCACATATTCATGGCAGCACATTTTTTCCAATATGTAATAAAAAAATGCCACCAATCTATCATTCACATACAGCTTCTTCTCTCCTTTGGAATCTATGATCATGTAACTCTTTTTTCCGACTGTATTATTATTACCAACAAGAATGGATAAACCCGGACCTACGCCGGGTCAACGAAGATTAGGACCAGGCAGCGCATTTTTTCTACTATTTAATAAAAAAATGCCACCAATCTATCATTCACATACAACTTCTTCTCTCCTTTGGAATCCATGATCATGTAACTCTTTTTTCCGACTGTATTATTATTACCAACAAGAACGGATAAACTCGGACCTAAGCCGGGTCAACGAAATTAGGCCCAAGTTTATTTTTAAATGGTCAGCCCAGGCCCAGGTTTTCCAGGACGTCCAATCTAATGGAGAGTAAGAATCAGAACTTTGGGATGCCAAAGCCTTCAGTGTTATTTGTTCAGACCACAAAGCAATGGCTCCGAGACACGTAAATAGCCGAAAGGTTTGTCACTGGAACCCATAACTGTGCCAAGCTTCACTAGTCCCTAGCACAGTGCCGGCAAAGTACAAATGTATGAAGCCTTAGTTAGTGACAACAAAGCTTCGGGACAAGAAAAGAAGTGGCACTTGATAATATCAGCACTTTCTTTCTGCTGAATGTGGAGATCCCCATCTATTCATGTACTGCAAATTACTACTTCAATGAATGCTCCATGCTTGCTAAAGATCAAGATCCCCATCCCCATCCCCATCTATTCTTGGTATGCTGCCTGTTAGAAGGTTGATCGAGATATCCAAGTATGTCAGCTCTGTGCAGTTTCCAAGATCATCTAGAATTGCACCGTCTAAACTGTTGTTACATAATGATAGCCCTGGAATTGCACCCACTAAGCTGTCCACCCCCTCTTCCCCTTTCCTCGTAAGCCTAGAAATTGAAGCTTCACATGTTTTCGAAAGCTTCTTGGTATGCTGCCAGTTAGAAGATTCCGGGCAACATCCATTAATGTCAGCTCTGTGCAGGTTCCAATATCATCTGGAATTGTACCCATAACCTGTATCCCATAACAATAGCATTTGAAGCTTTCTGAGCACCCCAATTCACGTTAGGATTAGGCCAGAAATCAAATTCTGATACAAGAACAGGCTCTGCAACTTGCTGCAGTTTCCAATCTCTTCTGGTATATGACCTGACAGTTGTGCTGTATAAATGGCTAAGATTTGAATTCTCTTCAGCATTCCAATTGAGGAAGGAAGACTTCCAGAAATGTTGGTTTCAGCTAAGCCTAACGTAACTAAGTTGGTGCAGTTGCCTGTCTCCGTTGGTAGCTTACCCTCTAGATTATTCACACCTGCTCGAAATAATTGTAGCTTGCTCAATTTTCCAAAACTTCTTGGAATTTTCTCACTGAGTTGATTGTCATAGAGTGTCAGAAATTAAAGACTTGACAAGTTTCCAATGCCAGAAGGAATTTTGCCTTTAAGAAAGTTTGTGTTGAGATATAAGCTTTGCAATCTTTTTAGCTGGCATATTTCCTTTGGAATTTCACCTGAAAGAGAATTGTCACTGAGATCAATGAAAGTGAGGTCACCAAATTTTCCTATTTCTTTTGGAATTGTGCCGGTGAGATTGCAGGATGAGATGATGAGGATCTTCAAGGACTTGAGTGATTGAAAATTTGAAGGCACTGGACCTCCCAATTCTAGTGCTTTCAAGCTCACCTTCACCACTTCTCCGTTTGTGTTACAATGAATTACCAACCATTTGAGTCTGCAGGATTCCATGTATTTAATGCATCCGTGGGACTGTTTAAACTGTTCTTCCAAGTTAAAAGAGCTTGGCTTTGTTCATCAATACAATTACAAGTAGAAAAAAGCAGAGAGTTTATTAACAGAACCAAGGTGAAGGAGAAGATATTTGGAGAAAACAAGCGATACCTCACAGTTTCATCCATTAATGCTTAGAGATGAGAACAGGTAATTTAATTTGGGATTGTGGAAGAATATTATGCTATTTTGGATGTTCAGGTTAACACATTGGGCTCAAGGCTGAGATTAATTATTGTCAAACAGTTTTTAGAATCAGAATTCGCTGAGACTGAAGAAAGATTCCGAATATTGGCTATAGCTTATTGGTCTCGACGGGGATTACATGTCAGCTTTTTAGATTGCCACTGGACCAAAGGAATCTCACCGAAATTGATTGTTGTGCAGTTCAGATGAGTTAGCTCTGTGCAGTTTAACATTTCAACGGTATTATACCTGACAACCGATTGAAAGCTAATTAGGGTTTGAAGCTTCAAAGTTTTCCAAAACTTCTAGGCATGCTGCCAATTATAGATCCTTGAGATATCCAAGTTTGTCAACTCTGTGTAGTTGACAAAATAATCAGGAATTGCACCCACTAAACTGATGTTCCGCAATCTTAGATCCTGAAGTTTAAGTTTTTGAAACTTCTCGGTATGTTGCCAATCAGAAAATTATACGAGACATCAAAAATTTTCAACTCTGCTAATTCCAAGATCATCTGGAATTGGACCTAAACTGTTGTTCCCTAATCTTAGATCTTGAACTTCACAATTTTTCCAAAACTTCTCGGTATGCTGCCAGTCAGAAAATTATCTGAGACATCAGATTTTCAACTCTGTGCAGTTTCCAAAATCGTCAGGAATTGCACCCTCAAAGCCGTACCCTGTAGTATACTTCTTGAAGCTTCATAGTTTTCCAAAGCTTCTGGTATGCTGCCAGTTAGAAGATTCGTTGAGACATCAATGAATATCAGCTCTTTGCAACGTCCAATTCGACTTGGGATCGGACCAAAATTGAGGTACTATACAAGTACAGGTACTGCAATTTGCTACAATTTCCAATCTCTTTGGGATATGACCTGACAGTTGGTGCTTGAAAGCTCTAAATCTTGAATTTTTTTGAGCATTCCAATTCGAGTTGGGATTGAGCCAGAGATTGAAGTACTATAAAGTACAGGTACTGCAATTCACTGCAGTTTCCAATCTCTTCTGGGATATGACCTGACAGTGTGTCAGAAAGATCTAAATCTTGAATTTTTTTAAGCATTCCAATTTGAGTTAGGATTGGGCCAGAGATTGAGTACTGTACAGTACAGGATTTGCAACTCGCTGCAGTTTCCAATCTCTTCTGGATATGACCTGACAGTTGTGTTTCATAAAGGTATAACTCTTGATTCTTTTGAGCATTCCAATTGACGAAGGAATACTTCCAGAAATGTTGCTTTCAGTAAGCTTAAATAAACTAAGTTGGTGCATTTCCTATCTGCATTGTAGTTCACCCTCTAGATAATTTACGTCTGCTTCAAAATTTGCAGCTTGCTTAATTCTCCATAGTTTTTAATTTCCCCATTGAGTTGATTCTCGTAGAGCATCAGATCTGAAAGGCTTGACAAGTTTCCAAGCCGAAGGAATTTCGCCTTTAAGAAAGTTCGTGTTGAGATATAACCTGTCATCATTTAGCCGCATTTTTCTTTGGGGATTTCACCGGAAAGAGAATTGTCACTAAGATCAATGAAGTGAGCTTGTGATATCTCCAAGTTCTTTTGGGATTGTGCCGTGGAATTGCAAGATGATATGTAAGATTCTTCAAGGACTTGAGAGTTGAAAATTTGAAGGCATGAACCTTCCAATTCTACTCCTTTCAGGCTTATATTCACCACTTCTCCCTTTGAGTTGCAGTAGATCCCACCATTTGCATGGACTGGAGTCTGTAGAATTCCAATTTTTCAATGCTCAATGGGGCTACTTAAACTGTTCTTCCATGTTAAAAGCTTGGCCTTGTTCATCAAGAGAATAACAAGGAGAGAGCAAAGAGAGTTTATTGACAGAACCAAGGTGAGTAAGGAGAAGATTTTTGGATAAACAAGCGATTCATTACTGTTTTAGGCATTGCTTAGAGATGAAAGAGAGGTGGTGATTTTTTTGGAATTGTGAAAGAAATACAAGGGCAAGTATTTAAAAACTCATTCCTTTCCCTGTTCCCGCGCACACAAAGGACATGTTTTCCAATTTATTAATGCAATGTAACTTGAACAAACAATCTTTTAGAATTTTCAGTAAATTTTCAAATTTGAAAGAGGAATGTATGTGCTAGTTCAGAAGTCATGGTGTAAATTATTGACTGTATAGCTAATGAACTGAAAGTCTCTTTTGATTGAGACACAATCATTAATTATATAGTATATACCATTTTCATTGTTATCTTTTTGAATCGTCATTTAAATATTGATCTTTATTTCTATTGTTTGTTTTGAATGATGAAGATGGTAGTTTCTGGTGGGAGTTGCAAATGTCATTAACCTTCTAATTAGATATTGAACTTAAACAACCCACGACTGTAAATTCCACCATAAATAATGGCGTCAAAAAGCCAATCGTGTGAACAACGCCACAATAATAACATACATTTTAAATGATATTCGGATTTCACTTAATGAGGTTTTATAATATTTAAGTTGAATGTAATAAAGTGATTATATATAAATTACGATATGGTGATGCAAGAACCTTGTTTAGTTTGTGTATTGCATAAAATGACAAGCCCTATAGGAGGAAGAAGTGTAAGAAGGAATTTACAAAGAAAGAGAAGGAGAGAAGTGTTATAATATGCATAATGCAGTTCTGATGATGTGTTTTCTGAATTTTCTCCATTTCCCCTCTTTTTCTCTCCATCCAAACATCGCAAATCATCACTTAATTATAAGAAAATATTTATTGAAGTTCCGTCGAGACCTTCACGGGAAGCAATAACCATTCTGAGTGTTAATAAATAAATAATCCACAAGGTCACTATAATACCCTTTCCTCATTCTATTGTTGATTATACATTCTATTTTTGTCACATTTACAATATCTCATAAAAATTAGATAAACTTTATGTGATATTAAAAATTCTAAGATCAAAAGATCTTATAGAACTCAATTCTAAGTCTTTGTTTACAAAACTATTTATTTATGTATGTAGCAGGACAATTTACTCGTAATGGGTCGTTTGCCAACTAACCAATAAAGAGCTATTACGTCAGAAATGTGACAGAAGATTGTGAGATTGAGTTGTAGACCATCATTATTCTTAAATTAAATAACCATGTTGTGGGGCATTTATGTGATTAACCAAGAATCTAACCCTATACCAATGTACCAATTAACTTAGTTATTACAATTTTACCCTCATCCCTACCCTCCAACACTTTATTCATGACCCTATGAATTTCTAATTCTCATTGCAAAATCTCACACCTAAAACATGATATCTAGCAAGGAAAACCAGTATATCCAACTATTAAGATGGTTCTTAACTTAAATTCTTAGATTTGCATTTTCTATCATTTTAACTCGGAAGGATTGTCTGGCCCAAATAGGAGAACGGGACTGAATGAGGAAGAGACCAGGCCCAATCCCGATGTGGCCCCATCCGGATTAGGCCTATTTGATACGAGATACAGTTGGCCCAAACCATCGGGTCCGGGCCTCCAAGTCCTTGTTCACTTCCTAGACATATGAGCAAGTCCAGAGCCCACGGCACCCACAGATCACTTTCCCATTCTAGATCAGTCTCCTATTCGAGGTCACCTTTCTGTTCAGGTCACTTTCCTACTCGAGGTTACTTTCCTGTTCGGGATCACCTTCCTATTCAAACACTGGTAAGACAACTCACCACCGCCCTAATTCCTCTAGGGTTTGTATCAAAGTCCCACTAGGACTCCTACTCCCACTAGGATTGGGAGACTAGACAGTCACTATATAAACAGAGGTCAGCCCTCTCACAAGGGACATTAGATTACATTACACCTTCACATCCGAAGCTCCTATTTGAGAGCTTCATATCACTGCCATAGTCACAGTCCCCGACTAGACTTCCGATAACGTCTCTACTCCCTAGCCCTCACTATACTAGCCTCTTTCAGCCTTGTTGACTTGAGCGTCGGAGTGCCTACGGCAAACACCACCCCGGTGTTTTCCGTTCACTTCACGCTTGTTTCTCTACATGTGCAGGTGCAGCGGATCGTTAGTGGCCTCAACCTCACGGAATCAAACCCCCCTTCCATACAAGTAGATTTTTACGTCTACAGTTATCAACTTATTTAGTTGTTTCAGTTGGTATCATGTTTGTCCATGTTTAAAGCTTTCTAGCAGAATTAGCTCACTGCTCTAGAAAAATAGGTTCATACTTGATATATTTGTTAAATGCATGACATAAAGCGAGTTGTTCTAATAATGATTTTGTTCTTAGCTACACGGAAATAAAATATTTCCTTCTTGGATATCCCGTTTTTCTGTAAACTTGTATTCATATAATTTCAGTGAAATAAAATATTTCCTTCTTGGATATCTCGTTTTTCTGTAAACTTGTATTCATATTATTTCTAGTGCACTGAAATTATATGTGCTTTTGTCTTAAGCTTGTTTTCTTCTTCTGAAGAGCATTTACAGCAGTCGAGCTTAGAAAGAAACTGAATGGAAAGAAGTTTCCTCCTAATATTGTCGAGGCAGTGATAACTGATTTTCAGAGCAGGTACATGACCATGTTTTTCTTTTCTGAAGGAGTTTGTGCTACTTATTGGCACTACATCATCGTTTTCTGAAAAGTTCACTTGGCTGGTTTCTGAGAAGTCTCTGACCTTTTTCCTGTATTGCAGAGGGCTGATCAATGATGGCTTGTATGCCGAAGCATTTTCACGGTCTAGATGGTCTACTTCAACCTGGGGACCTAGACGGATAAAGCAAGTAAGTATTTTTGTTTACAGTCATAGGTTTTACTTAATGAATTAATATATTGTTTATGAATGGCTTTATTTTATGAATGGTCGAACTTCAGAGGTTGTCTTTGAAGTCTTTCTACATCCTATAGGAAGCTAGCCCTAATATTATTGACCACTATTTCTTGGCCCATTTTTGTTGGATCAGGCATTGTTCAACAGGGGAATAAGTGGAACTGATGCAGACAAGGCAGTAAAACTGGTTTTCCAGGATGCTGAATCTGATGGAGAGCAAGAATCAAAGCTTGGCATGTCAAAGCATTCAATGGATCAACTTTTTGTTCAGGCCAAGAAGCAATGGCTCCGAAGTCAGGATGCACCGAAAGAAACACGTAAAACAAGGATTATTCTTTGGCTTCAGTACCGTGGTTTCAACTGGGGAATTACTAGTTTCATATTGAAGAAGTTAGAATCCCATTATCCCACTTAGAGCACAATAAATGAATTCTCTTCGACCATGTTGTCGATGGAATGATGATCCATAGCCGATTATCTTGAAATTTAAGTTTTTTGTATGAAAAGGTTTCATTACACCCACCATTGGAACATGCTGAAATGGTCAAAAGGTTAGTTGCTGGAGCCCATAACAGAGAGAAAGTTGTGTTTATAAATTATAGGTGTATGAAATGGCAAAAAGGTTTTTTTATTTTTTATTTGCTACTTTTTCTTTTAACTATTTCTAACTTTAATATGTTTGTGATGCTATTTAAAAAATAATGGACCTTAGTTACTTGTTCATGAGTAGTTTAACACAAATACTTTTTCTACGTATCATAAGTTTTGAAGCTCGCAATTTCTTCATCTATTTTGTCATAGGTCATATCCTTGTTTGTGGAGAATGGATTAAAACTGACTTAGATTAATCTGAAACTCATTTGGAGCAAATACAAACTCGTGTTCTAAATTTTTGAGTGGTTTCATTTAAGTTTAGCTTAACAATGCTTATAACTGAGAGTTTTTTAATCGACTATATTTATCTTTACACGTAGCTATTTATTAATTACATGCACGAGACTTGGAGAGGCATAAAATTTTATAAATCTTAAATAGAATACAAAAAATAAATATATTTTGGATGTTCAGGTTAACACATTGGGCTCAAGGCTGAGATTAATTATTGTCAAACAGTTTTTAGAATCAGAATTCGCTGAGACTGAAATAAGATTCTAAATATTGTCTATTAGCTTATTGGTCTCGACGGGGATTACATGATCAAGCTTTTTAGATTTCCACTGGACCAATAGGAATCTCACCCGAAAATTGATTGTTGTGCAAGTACAGATGAGTTAGCTCTGTGCAGTTTACAATTTCAACAGGTATTATACCTGACAACCGATTGAAAGCTAAGTTAAGGGTTTGAAGCTTCAAAAGTTTTCCAAAACTTCTAGGCATGCTGCCAATTATAAGATTCCTTGAGATATCCAAGTTTGTCAACTCTGTGTAGTTGACAAAATAATCAGGAATTGCACCCACTAAACTGATGTTCCGCAATCTTAGATCCTGAAGTTTAAGTTTTTGAAAACTTCTCGGTATGTTGCCAATCAAAAAATTATATGAGACATCAAAATATTTCAGCTCTGTGCAATTTCCAAGATCATCTGGAATTAGACCTAAACTGTTGTTCCCTAATCTTAGATCTTGAAGCTTCATAAGTTTTCCAAAACTTCTCGATATGCTGCCCGTCAAAAAATTATCTGAGACATCAAAGATTTTCAACTCTGTGCAATTTCCAAAATCGTCAGGAATTGCACCCTCAAAGTCGTTACCCAGTAAGTATACTTCTTGAAGCTTCATAAGTTTTCCAAAGCTTCTCGGTATGTTGCCAGTTAGAAGATTCGTTGAGACATCAATATATATCAGCTCTTTGCAACTTCCAATTCGACTTGGGATTGGACAAGAGATTAAAGTACTATACAAGTACAGGTACTGCAATTCGCTGCAATTTCCAATCTCTTTTGGGATATGACCTGACAGTTGTGTGCTAGAAAGCTCTAAATCTTGAATTCTTTTGAGCATTCCAATTCGAGTTGGGATTGGGCCAGTACGGCTTTTGTCCCGTAGTGATGGCATAGATCGTCATCATCCAGCATTTGGGCCATCTCAATGCGCACATGAGGATAGTATGCTACACCACCATAGTCTACCCTCAAGTACCATCCATAGGCTGCTCTCGGGGTTATAATCATCGTTGGATAACCATACTCGACCTATAGTCTACCCTTTGGGCGTCATGATAGGTATCATAAAGAATCTTGCCCACGTCTATCCTCGAGGCATCAGATCCCACACCGGTCAATACCCGCCTGGTGTGATCTCGCTAAGACTCATCAAGCGCATATCCTGTTCCCAATAGGATGAATGTCATGTCATCCTTTGGTAGGACAAGCCATCTCGTTTGTGGGCATGAGGATAAGTATAAGATGCTAGCTAATGTCTGGAGGGGGTGGGTACCAGAAGGTGGTCTCAATTCGAAATAAACTTTTATCATAACATTTCCAAATTTCCAACCTTCAGGGATATTACCTACCATCATCTCAGTAATTCGAATATGGGTGTCACATAGTTCTTAATATCCCTAGCATGCTGTAAAAACAAGGGTGACATTCCGATATACGACATGTACAATATCAATTTACCCCCTATATTTTTGTTTATTTTCCCATATTTCGAATACTTGGTCAACCCCTTATACTTCTAAATCATTACAATTAACCCCTATCTTGAAATTTAGGGGCAATCAGTCTAGTACCTAGCCCATTCCTTCGACCTGGACCCGACCCAGACCTATTGGTTCCTAGGCTTTCCTAAAGCCTAGAACCCTACTATTCACTAAAATGACAATACACCCCTCCTTTCCAAAAATAACAAATATACCTTCATAAATTACAAATACACCCCCAATTGTTCACAGAAATTACAAAACAACCTCCAAAAATATATATTTTTTTATTTATTTTTAAATTCTCCACGATTTTCTTTTATTAATGTATTCTCCCTCTTTAATCAAGCATAGAATAAGACGCTACTATATAAATTAAATATATTAATGGTTTATTAAAGAGATATTTTTATTTTATATACTTGTATTCTATCTATTCATTTTGTTTTATATAACATATACAACATTTTTCATACATATTATGTGGTAAAATATGATTCGCTGATTTTAAATTAAATTAAATTTTCATCCAATCATCTTTTACCACATAAGTTTGTATGTGAGTATTATTCTTTATAAAAAGAGTTTTTGACTATTATTTTGATGAGGATATTTTATGAATTAATTAATTTTGTATTAGAATAATTAGTTGGTGATTAGAAAGATTTTCAACTTGATGAAATGGCATTGGATAATTAGTTTGATTTGAAAAATTGGTGATGCAAACAGAAGAATTAGACAAAACTTGAACACTTGCGAAACCTTGCCACATGGGCTGGTGGCGAAGCTCCGTTCCTTCGTTGGCGGCGTTTTATGGACACCATTTGGCTGCTCGCACGAGTCCCTGGGATTGCAGCCCGAACATTCTTTTTAATGGATTTAGAGTATGATCATTGTTGTTGTATGCATAATGCTTGTGCATTTTTATAGATGAATTTCTAAAAAGAATCGAAGCATTTCTTAGTAGGCTTTTTGTAGGTGGCGTTTTCACTTTAGTGCTATATTCATCATGATTATTCCTCATAGGTTTATCACGTTGGCATTATGCTTGAGATTTTTGGTCATTTTGCAGCTTTGAAGAAGAAATGGTGATTGGAGTTTTATAGAGCATGACTGATGAAGAAACTGAGGAGTTTATTGAAGAACCCCAGGAGGTAGTGGAGGAGATGAAAATCCGTCAAGGAAAAGATCTTTGTAAACAAGATGTGTTACGAGGAAGTACAACCATCCAGGACGCTGAGAATTTGGCCATCAAATTACTTGCAACAATTAGTTTGTAGCTTTTACTAACATAAGGATTAGGTTATTGTAAAGCCAAAAATCGTCCCTAGCCCAAATAGGGAACGGACTGAATGAGAAGAGACCAGGCCCAATCCCGATGTGGCCCCTCCGGATTAGGCCATTTATACGAGATACAGTTGGCCCAAACCATCGGGTCCGGGCCTCCAAGTCCTTGTTCACTTCCTAGACATATGAGCAAGTCCAGAGCCCACGGCACCCACAGATCACTTTCCCATTCTAGATCAGTCTCCTATTCGAGGTCACTTTCTGTTCAGGTCACTTTCCTACTCGGTTACTTTCCTGTTCGGGATCACCTTCCTATTCAACACTGGTAAGACAACTCACCACCGCCCTAATTCCTCTAGGGTTTGTATCAAGTCCCACTAGGACCCTACTCCCACTAGGATTGGGAGACTAGACAGTCACTATAAACAGAGGTCAGCCCCTCACAAGGGACATTAGATTACATTACACCTTCACATCCGAAGCTCCTATTTGAGAGCTTCATATCACTGCCATAGTCACAGTCCCCGACTAACTTCCGATAACGTCTCTACTCCCTAGCCCTCACTATACTACCCTCTTTCAGCCTTGTTGACTTGAGCGTCGGAGTGCCTACGGCAAACACCACCCCGGTGTTTTCCGTTCGCTTCACGCTTGTTTCTCTACATGTGCAGGTGCAGCGGATCGTTAGTGGCCTCAACCTCACGGAATCAAACCCCCTTCCATACAAGTAGATTTTTACGTCTACAGTTATCAACTTATTTAGTTGTTTCAGTTGGTATCATGTTTGTCCATGTTTAAAGCTTTCTACAGAATTAGCTCACTGCTCTAGAAAAATAGGTCATACTTGATATATTTGTTAAATGCTGACATAAAGCGATTTGTTCTAATAATGATTTTGTTCTTAGCTACACGGAAATAAAATTTTCCTTCTTGGATATCCCGTTTTTCTGTAACTTGTATTCTATAATTTCAGTGAACCTATGAATTTCTAATTCTCATTTGCAAAATCTCACACCTAAAACACGATATCTAGCAAGGAAAACCAGTATATCCAACTATTAAGATGGTTTTTAACTTTAAATTCTTAGATTTAGCATTTTCTATAATTTTAATTCGGAAGGATTGTGTCTTTTTAGTGTGTGAACTTTTTGTTAACGTAAGGATTGTTTTAAGAATTATGAGTGAATAAATGATGTAATGTTTGTGGTAATATAGTAGATTTAGGAATGTATTATTTGGGAAACCATTGTATAGAGAAAAACCCGATAGTTGGCGTGAAGTACGATACAGGGAATTATTTACACATATTCCCCAATTTGGGTGATGTTATACACCAAGTCAAAGATTTCACACTAATAGTGTGAAAAATCACATCAACTCAATTTTTTATATTTAGATAAAACAACCGAAAACTTAGAGTTTCAAGCACAACCCACTAGTGGTATTTCCACCATAAATAATGTTGATTGAAAAAGTGAAACGTGTGGCACAAGGCCACAATCACCACCAAGTCCATCACAAACTCATGGCAGCTCATTTTTTCTAATATGTAATAAAAAAAATGCCACCAATCTATCATCACATACAACTTCTTCTCTCCTTTGGAATCCATCATCATATATAACTCTTTTTTCCGACTGTATTATTATTACCAACAAGGGTGGATAAACCTGGACCTAAGCCGGGTCAATGAAGATTAGGCCCAAGTTTATTTTTAAATGGTTAGCCCAGGCCCAGATTTTCCAGGACGTCCAATCTAATGGAGACTAAGAATCAAAACTTTGGGATGCCTAAGCTTTTAGTGTTATTTGTTCAGACCCACTAGTGGTAATTCCACCATAAATAATGGTATGAAAAAGTGAAACGTGTGGCACAATCCCACAATCACCACCATGTCCATCACAGAGTCACGGCAGTGCATTTTTTCTAATATGTAATAAAAAATGCCACCAATCTATTATTTACATACAACTTTTCTCCTTTCGGTGGTGTAAAATTATTGATTGTATTAGCTAATGAACTGGAAGTCTCTTTTGATTGAGACACAGTCATTTTATATTATAAATTCTTCACCTTTTATTATCATTATATACCAATTTTCTTTGTTATCTTTTTGAATCGTCATTTAAGTATTGATACTTCATTTTTTATTGTTTCTTTTTGAATGATGTAGATGATAAGATTCTGGTAGTGGAGAGGTGCAAATGTCATTAACTTTCTAATTAGATATTGAACTTAAATAACTCAGGAGTGTAAATTCAACCATAAATAATGGTGTGAATAAGCCAATCACTTGTAGATCCAACAAAACATATTTATACTCATGGGTACCCGTTTAAAAAAGCAGGTATGGATCCATAAATCTGGACCCTTGTTTCGATCTGTACTCCGTCCGGTTCTTTTTTTTGCGGGTAGGCCGAGTATACCCACTGGTACCCGTGAAAACAAAATTTTCAAATTTATAAAATCTTATTTGACAAATAAAATATATATTATTTATTTACTAGGGAATAGTCTTTTTGATTAAATCTCTTAAGAGTTTTAATACAATGATGTTGAAGCAAGATAAGTTAATTAAGAGTTTATGTGATGTTAACCCCATATCTAAATTGAGACACCTAGTAATTTCTAAATCCCTAGATTTTAATAAATTAATGGATATAATTTAGTATGAACTTCTGATTTATATTATATTATTGAACTATAAAAATGAGCTGGTGTACAGTAAAATTCATATGAAGGGCACTTGCGGAATTTCCAGATTATCCAATTGTATTAATTTGTAACACTTATAATTTAAAAATCTTTATTTTAATTGTTTAATATATTTTTAATTTTCCTAATTATATCATAGCAATTGGTAAGTCCTAATAGATTTTTTTTTTTTTTTTTCTAAATTAAAAACTTTGATACCGTTATGTCTTGTTAGATATGCATATGGGAACTATAATCTAATTAAGTCTGAAAATTAATAAGAAATTTTTTTTGTTAATTTTTTTTTTTTAATTAACTAATAAAAGAGTTTGTTACTAGGGATTTTAGAATTTCTGGTTCTACAAATCAACATCATATTAATTAGTCTTTTTGGTCAAAATTGAAAGGCAAATCATGATTCATGTGTATGCGGGCTCATATAATATGTATTATCATGACAGTAAGTATCAAAAAATTTATCAAGTTAAATATTTTTCCACCATCACCACCACAGTACCCATGGTCCCTAATATAGACAACCAACTAGGCCATTGACAATCTACCCTTGGGGTGGCGCCATCCACAGTCTGCCCTCGGATGGCCAAAGTATCACAAGATGATCATACTTGACCCACAGTTTACCCTTGGGGCATCATGATCATATGGCACCGGTATAATAGAATCTTGGCCACAATCTACCCTTTGGCCGTCAAGTAACAATATCCCAGCCACAGTCTACCCTCGAGGTGTGATCCTGCTTAGAGCTTGTCAGGCGGCTTTCTTGTCCCAATAGGATGGCATAGATCGTCATCATCCGAGCATGTGGGCCATCTCAATGCGCACATGAGGATAAGGTATGCTACACCAACCATAGTCTACCCTCAAGGTGGTACCATCCATAGGCTGCTCTCGGGGTGGTATAATCATCGTTGGATAACCATACTCGACCTATAGTCTACCCTTTGGGCGTCATGATATGGTATCATAAAGAATCTTGCCCACGATCTATCCTCGAGGCGTCAGAATCTCACACCGGTCAATACCCGCCTGGTGTGATCTCGCTAAGAACTCATCAAGCGCATATCCTGTCCCAATAGGATGGAATGTCATGTCATCCTTTGGTAGGACAAGCCATCTCGTTGTGGGCATGAGGATAAGTATAAGATGCTAGCTAATGTCTGGAGGGGGATGGGTACCAGAAGGTGGTCTCAATTCGAAATAAAACTTTTATCATAACATTTCCAAATTTCCCAACCTTCAGGGATATTACCTACCATCATCTCAGTAATTCGAATATGGGTGTCATATAGTTCTTAATATCACTAGCATGCATGTAAAAACAAGGGTGACATTCCGATATACGAACATGTACAATATCAATTTACCCCCTATATTTTTTGTTCATTTTCCCAAATACTTCGAACACCTTGTCAACCCCTTATACTTCTAAATCATTACAATTAACCCCTATCTTGAAATTTAGGGGCGATCAGGTCTAGGTACCTAGCCCAATTCCTTGGACCTGGACCCGACCCAGACCTATTGGTTCCTAGGCTTTCCTAAAGCCTAGAACCCGATACTATTCACTAAAAATTACAATACACCCCTCATATTCACAAAAATAACAAATATACCTTCATAAATTACAAATACACCCCCAATTGTTCACAGAAATTACAAATACAACCTCCAAAAATATATATATTTTTTAATTTATTTTTAAATTCTCCACGATTTTCTTTTATTAATGTATTCTCCCTCTTTGAATCAAGCATAGAATAAGACGCTACTAATATAAATTAAATATATTAATGTGTTATATTAAAGAGATATTTTTATTTTATATACTTGTATTCTATCTATTCATTTTGTTTTATAATAACATATACAACATTTTTCATACAATATTATGTGGTAAAATATGATTCGCTGATTTTAAATTAAAATTAAATTTTCATCCAATCATCTTTTACCACATAATGTTGTATGTGTAGTATTATTCTTTATAAAAAGAGTTTTTGACTTTTATTTTGATGAGGATATTTTATGAATTAATTAATTTTTGTATTAGAATAATTAGTTGGTGATTAGAAAGATTTTCAACTTGATGAAATGGCATTGGATAATTAGTTTGATTTGAAAAATTGGTGATGCAAACAGATAGAAATAGACAAAACTTGAACACTTGCGAAACCTTGCCACATGGGCTGGTGGCGAAGCTTCCGTTCCTTCGTTGGCGGCGTTTTATGGACACCATTTGGCTGCTGCGAACGAGTCCCTGGGGATTGCAGCCCGAACATTCTTTTTAATGGATTTAGAGTATGATCATTGTTGTTGTATGCATAATGCTTGTGCATTTTTATAGATGAATTTCTAAAAAGAATCGAAGCAATTTCTTAGTAGGCTTTTTGTAGGTGGCGTTGCTTTCAACTTTAGCTATTATTCATCATGATTATTCCTCATAGGTTTAATCACGTTGGCATTATGCTTGAGATTTTTGGTCATTTTGCAGCATTTGAAGAAGAAAATGGTGATTGGGAGTTTATAGAGCATGGACTGATGGAAGAAACTGAGGAGTTTATTGAAGAACCCCAGGAGGTAGTGGAGGAGATGAAAATCCGTCAAGGAAAAGATCTTTGTAAACAAGATGTGTTACGAGGCAGTACAACCATACAGGACGCTGAGAATTTGGCCATCAAATTACTTGCAACAAGGTTAGTTTGTAGCTTTTACTAACAATAAGGATTAGGTTATTGTTAAAGCCAAAAATCGTCCTTGGCCCAAATAGGAGAACGGGACTGAATGAGGAAGAGACCAGGCCCAATCCCGATGTGGCCCCATCCGGATTAGGCCTATTTGATACGAGATACAGTCGGCCCAAACCATCGGGTCCGGGCCTCCAAGTCCTAGTTCACTTCCTAGACATATGAGCAAGTCCAGAGCCCACGGCACCCACAGATCACTTTCCTATTCTAGATCAGTCTCCTATTCGAGGTCACCTTTCTGTTCAGGTCACTTTCCTACTCGAGGTTACTTTCCTGTTCGGGATCACCTTCCTATTCGAACACTGGTAAGACAACTCACCACCGTCCTAATTCCTCTAGGGTTTGTATCAGAGTCTCACTAGGACTCCTACTCCCACTAGGATTGGGAGACTAGACAGTCACTATATAAACAGAGGTCAGCCCTCTCACAAGGGACATTAGATTACGTTACACCTTCACATCCGAAGCTCCTATTTGAGAGCTTCATATCACTGCCATAGTCACAGTCCCCGACTAGACTTCCGATAACGTCTCTACTCCCTAGCCCTCACTATACTAGCCTCTTTCAGCCTTGTTGACTTGAGCGTCGGAGTGCCTACGGCAAACACCACCCCGGTGTTTTCCGTTCGCTTCACGCTTGTTTCTCTACATGTGCAGGTGCAGCGGATCGTTAGTGGCCTCAACCTCACGGAATCAAACCCCCCTTCCATACAAGTAGATTTTAGGTCTAAGTTCAGATCAACTTATTAGTTGTTTCAGTTGGTATCATGTTTGTCCATGTTTAAGCTTTCTAGCAGAATAGCTCACTGCTTAGAAAAATAGGTTCATACTTGATATATTTGTAAATGCATGACATAAAGCGAGTTGTTTAATAATGATTTTGTTCTTAGCTACACGGAAATAAAATATTTCCTTCTTGGATACCGTTTTTCTGTAAACTTGTATTCATATAATTTCAGTGAAATAAAATATTTCCTCTTGGATATCTGTTTTCTGTAAACTTGTATTCATATTATTTCTAGTGCACTGAAATTATATGTGCTTTTGCTTAAGCTGTTTTCTTCTCTGAAGAGCATTTACAGCAGTCGAGCTTAGAAAGAAACTGAATGGAAAGAAGTTTCCTCTAATATTGTCGAGGCAGTGATAACGATTTTCAGAGCAGGTACATGACCATGTTTTTCTTTCTGAAGGAGTTTGTGCTACTTATTGGCACTACATCATCGTTTTCTGAAAAGTTCACTTGGCTGGTTTCTGAGAAGTCTCTGACCTTTTTCCTGTATTGCAGAGGGCTGATCAATGATGGCGTATGCCGAAGCATTTTCACGGTCAGATGGTTACTTCAACCTGGGGACCTAGACGGATAAAGCAAGTAAGTATTTTTGTTTACAGTCATAGGTTTTACTTAATGAATTAATATATTGTTTATGAATGGCTTTATTTTATGAATGGTCGAACTTCAGAGGGTGTCTTTGAAGTCTTTCTACATCCTATAGGAAGCTAGCCCTAATATTATTGACCACTATTTCTGGCCCATTTTTGTTGGATCAGGCTGTTCAACAGGGGAATAATGGAACTGATGCAGACAAGGCAGTAAAACTGGTTTTCCAGGATGCTGAATCTGATGGAGAGCAAGAATCAAAGTTGATGTCAAAGCATTCAATGGATCAAATTTTGTTCAGGCCAAGAAGCAATGGCTCCGAAGTCAGGATGCACCGAAAGAAACACGTAAAACAAGGATATTCGGCTTCAGTACCGTGGTTTCAACTGGGGAATTACTAGTTTCATATTGAAGAAGTTAGAATCCCATTATCCCACTTAGAGCACAATAAATGAATTCTCTCGACCTGTTGTCGATGGAATGATGATCCATAGCCGATTATCTTGAAATTTAAGTTTTCTGTATGAAAAGGTTTCATTACACCCACCATTGGAACATGCTGAAATGGTCAAAAGGTTAGTTGCTGGAGCCCATAACAGAGAGAAAGTTGTGTTAAAATTATAGGTGTGAAATGGCAAAAAGGTTTTTTTATTTTTTATTTGCTACTTTTTCTTTTAACTATTTCTAACTTTAATATGTTTGTGATGCTATTTAAAAAATAATGGACCTTAGTTACTGTCATGAGTAGTTTAACACAAATACTTTTCTACGTATCATAAGTTTAGAGCTCGCAATTTCTTCATCTATTTTGTCATAGGTCATATCCTTGTTGTGGAGAATGGATTAAAACTGACTAGATTAATCTGAAAACATTTGGAGCAATACAAAAACTCGTGTTTAAATTTTTGAGTGGTTTAATTTAAGTTTAGCTTAACAATGCTTATAACTGAGAGTTTTTTAACGACTATATTTATCTTTACACGTAGCTATTATTAATTACATGCACGAGACTTGGAGAGGCATAAAATTTTATAAATCTTAAATGAATACAAAAAATAAATATATTTTGGATGTTCAGGTTAACACATGGGCTCAAGGCTGAGATAATTATTGTCAAACAGTTTTTAGAATCAGAATTCGCTGAGACTGAAATAAGATTTAATATTGTTATTAGCTTATGGTCTCGACGGGGATACATGATCAAGCTTTTTAGATTTCCACTGGACCAATAGGAATCTCACCCGAAAATTGATTGTTGTGCAAGTACAGATGAGTTAGCTCTGTGCAGTTTACAATTTCAACAGGTATTATACCTGACAACCGATTGAAAGCTAAGTTAAGGGTTTGAAGCTTCAAAAGTTTTCCAAAACTTCTAGGCATGCTGCCAATTATAAGATTCTGAGATATCCAAGTTTGTCAATCTGTGTAGTTGACAAAATAATCAGGAATTGCACCCACTAAACTGATGTTCCGCAACTTAGACCTGAGTTTAAGTTTTTGAAAACTTCTCGGTATGTTGCCAATCAAAAATTATATGAGACATCAAAATATTTCAGCTTGTGCAATTTCCAAGATCATCTGGAATTAGACCAAACTGTTGTTCCCTAATCTTAGATCTTGAAGCTTCATAAGTTCAAAACTTCTGATATGCTGCCGTCAAAAATTATCTGGACATCAAGATTTTCAACTGTGCAATTTCCAAAATCGTCAGGAATGCACCCTCAAAGTCGTTAACAGTAAGTATACTTCTTGAAGCTTCATAAGTTTTCCAAAGCTTCTCGGTATGTTGCAGTTAGAAGATTCGGTGAGACATCAATATAATCAGCTCTTTGCAAATCCAATTCGAATTGGGATTGGACAAGAGATTAAGTACTATACAAGTACAGGTACTGCAATCGCTGCAATTTCCAATCTCTTTTGGGATATGACCTGACAGTTGTGTGCTAGAAAGCCTAAATCTTGAATTCTTTTGAGCATTCCAATTGAGTGGGGTGATTGGGCCAGAGATTGAAGTATTATACAAGTACAAGATCTGCAACTTGCTGCAGTTTCCAATCTCTTCTGGGATATGACCTGACAGTTGTGTGTTAGAAAGCCCTAAATCTCGAATTTTTTTAAGCATTCCAATTCGAGTTGGGATTGGGCCAGAGATTGAGGTACTATACAAGTACAGGATTTGCAACTCGTTGCAGTTTCCAATCTCTTCTGGGATATGACCTGACAGTTGTGTGTTAGAAAGCTCTAAATCTTGAATTCTTTTGAGTATTCCAATTCAAGTTGGGATTGGGCCAAAGATTGAGGTACTATACAAGTACAGGATTTGCAACTCGCTGCAGTTTGCAATCTCTTCTAGGATATGACCTGACAGTTGTGTTTCATAAAAGTATAGCTCTTGAATTCTTTTGAGCATTCCAATTAACGAAGGAATACTTCCAGAAATGTTGCTTTCAGTGAAGCTTAAATAAACTAAGTTGGTGCAGTATCCTATCTCCATTGGTAGTTCACCCTCTAGATAATTCAGGTCTGCTTGAAAATTCTTTAGCTTGCTCAATTCTCCAATAGTTTTTGGAATTTCCCCATTGAGTTGATTCTCGTAGAGCATCAGATCTAAAAGGCTTGACAAGTTTCCAATGCCAAAAGGAATTTCGCCTTTAAGAAAGTTCGTGTTGAGATATAAACCTTGTAATCTATTTAGCCAGCATATTTCTTTGGGGATTTCACCTGAAAGAGAATTGTCACTGAGGTAAATGAAAGTGAGCTCGCGATATTCTCCAAGTTCTTTTGGGATTGTGCCTGTGAGATTGCAAGATGATATAGTAAGATTCTTCAAGGACTTGAGAGATTGAAAATTTGAAGGCAATGAACCTTCCAATTCTACTCCTTTCAGGCTTATATTCACCACTTCTCCCTTTGAGTTGCAGTAGATCCGAAACCATTTGCATGGACTGGAGTCTGCAGAATTCCAATTTTTCAATGCATCAGCGGGGCAGCTTAAACTGTTCTTCCATGTTAAAAGAGTTTGGCCTTGTTCATCAATAGAATAACAAGTGGAGAGGAGAAGAGAGTATATTGACAGAACCAAGGTGATGAAGGAGAAGATACTTGGATAAAACAAGCGATTCATTACAGTTTTACGCATTGCTTAGAGATGAGAAGAGAGGTGATTTATTTTGGAATTGTGAAAGAAATCCAGGGGCAAGTATTTAAAGCTCATTCCATTTCCCTGTTCCCACGCGCACAAAGGAAATGTTTTTCATTGTTAATTAATTCAATGTAAATGTAACAAACAATAAGTTTGACAAGAGGGATGCATGTATGTGCTAGTTTCTAAAGTCGGTGGTGGACAATAAGTTTTTTCAGCATTCCAATTGATGAAGGAAGACTTCCAGAAAATTGAGCACAACCCAGTAGTGGTAATTCCACCATAAATAATGGTGTGAAAGAGTGAAACGTGTGGCACAATGCCAAAATCACCACCAAGTCCATCACAAGCTAAAAATTGAAACTTTATTTTCTATTGTTTCTTATTTTTGAATGATGAAGATGATAAGTTTCTGGTAGTGGGGAGGTGCAAATTAATGTCATTAACCTTCTAATTAGATATTGAACTTAAATAACCCAAGAGTGTAAATTCCACCATAAATAGTGGTGTCAAAAAGGCAACGGTGTGCTAGAATGCCACAATCATATTTTGAATTAAATAACCATATTTTGGGGGGCATTTATGCAATTAACCAAAAATCTAAATCCTATACCAATGTAACCAATTAACTTATTTAAATACAATTTTACCCTCATCCTTAACCTCCCCACACTTTATCCCTGACCCTATGAATTTCTAAGTCTCATTTGCAAAATCTCACACCTAAAACACGATATCAAACAAGGAAAACTAGTATATCCAAGTATTAATATGGTTCTTAACTTTAAATTCTTACATTTATCATCTTCTATAATTTTAACTTAGAAGATTGTTCCTTGTTGTTGCGCTGATTTTTTGTTAATGTAAGTATTATTTTAAGATTTATGACTGAATAAATATTGTAATGTCAATTATGTTGTAGTAATAAAGTAGATTTAGGGATGAATTTATTCAAAAAACTAACGTATAAAGAAAAACCCAACAATTGGCATGAAAATTTCTAATTGGCATGAAGTACGATACTAGCTAAAGAATTGTTTACACATATTTCCCAGTTGGCGTGATATTATACGTCAAGTAAGAAATTTCACGTTAATAGCTTGAAAAATTATGCCAACTCATTTTTTTATATTTGGATAAAACAAGTGATAACTTAGAGTTTTAGGAGTTGTTTAGGGATGAAAACAGGTGATTTGTTTTGGGATTGTGGAGAAAATTAAGAACAACCCACAATTGGTGTGAAAAAGTGAAACGAGTGCCACAATCCACCAAGCAGCGCTACTTTTCTAATATGTAATAAAAAAATATGCCACCAATCTGTCATTCTCATACAACTGGAATCCATGATCCTATATGTTTTTTTTGGGACTGTGTTATTAACCAACAAGGATGGATAAACCCTAGACCCGCCCAGCCCTTGATAAACCCCGGACCTAAGCCCAGTTAATTAAGTTTAGGCCCGAGTTTATTTTTAAATGGTCAGCCCAGGCCCAGGTTTTCCAGGACGTCCAAACTGATGGAGATTAAGAGTAAAAAAGTTTGGGATGCCAAACCCAAAGCTTTCAGTGTTATTTGTTCAGACTACAAAGCAATAGCTCCGAAACACGTAAATAGCCGAAAGGTTTGTCAATGGAACCCATAATTGTGCCAAGCTTCACTAGTCCCTAGCACAGCGCCCGCAAGTACAAGTGTAAGGCTGTACGAAGCCTTAGTTAATGACAACAAAGCTTCGGCACAAGAAAAGAAAGTGGGCGCTTGATAATATCAGCACTTTGTTTTTGCTGAATGTGGAGATCCCCATCTATTCATCTACTGCAAATTACTATTTCAATTGATGCTTCATGTTTGCTAAAGATCAAGATCTATTAACAAGCAGCAATTTAAATCAAATAAAAATTTCTACCAAGCTCATTTCTCAATATTACTAACCAATAAGATGGCAGAACCACGGGCTGAGCCGGGCTATCTAAGATTAGGCCCTAGTTGATTCTTAAGTGGTCAGCCCAGGCCCGGTTTTCCAGTATGCCCAATGCTGAATCTGATTTAGACCAAGAATCTAAACTTGGCATGCTAATGCTTTCAGTGGATCAACTTTTTACTTCGGCTGCAGAGTGATGGCTTCAAAAATGGCCCGAAGGGTAGTGGCTGGAGTCCATAATTGTGCCAAATTTGTCAGCCAACTGTAAGGGTACTGGGCAGTGCCCTCAAGTGTAAGTGTATCGAGCCTTAGTGACAACATAGCTTCAAGACAAAGACAAGAAGTATGCACTTAATTAGATCAGCGGTTTCTTTTTGCTAAATGTGGAGATCCCTATCTATTCATGTACTGCAAATAACTATTTCAATCAAAGCTTCATTTTGCCATCTTAAGGTTTTGTACTTGTTGAAGAAAATTATTGTAATTGTTGTCAACTAAAAGGGTGTCACATTTCACATTACTAATAAAAGAGAACATGTCCATAGTCGGGTGATAACATACTTAAAAAGCCACCTATTGACGATGAATAATACTACACATACATCATTTCCATACAACATTTCTCATACAACATTATGTGACAAGATGTGATTGAGTGTAAGTTTAATTTTAATTTTAAATTAGCCAATCATATCTTGCTACATAATGTTGTATGGGAAATGTTGTATGAAAATTATGTATGTGTAGTATTACTCATTGACGATTTATGTTAAAGTATTCATGATAATGTTTACATCCTCCGTAGTACCCCAGTGGTGGGCACAAAGCTACTAGTCAATGCTTATTCCCCATATATCTTCTTGCTTAAATAAAGTTTAAGGATGGACCCATGAGGCTTTTACCTCGAAGCAATAGTATTATGTAATACTTTCGTCTATTGCGAAAATTCTCAATTACTAATAAAGGAGAACATATCTAGAGTCGAATGACAACAGACTTAAAAAGCCACTCATTTGATGATCAACGTTCAAATATTCATAATAATGCTGGCATAATCTATATTACTCTGGTGGTGAGCATAGAGCTATTAGCGTGTGGTGGGCACAGAGATTCATTGCCACTGATAATTTTATTATTTTTTGTACATTCACTGTTCCTGTTGGAGTCTTGAGTTGCATAATCTCTTTTTTTTTTTTTTTCAAGCAATCTGAGGATGTTTTGGAGATAGAATATGTGAACCTCATCTCTGTAATTGAATTTTATATATATATATATATATAATAATATATTATATATATATATATATATATATATAATATATATAGTATGTGTGTGTGTAAATAACATTTGATTTTTGCCACAATATCAAGATTTAACGTGGCATAATGTAACAAAGCTTCAACTCTTTCTAACCAATGTTTTAAAAATCAACCCGGGGCTAAACCCAAAAAAGTGAACCAGTCTCGGGTTGGCTGGTTTGACCAACAGGTCAAACTTGTGACTTCAACAAAAAAAAATTCAAAATTTTTTATTTTTGGCGCACGTTATCATTTTGTTGTTTCAGGCGCACATTAGAACGTGTTGGCGCCGACCTTCTTTCCCCTTTTTTTGGTTTTTTTTTTCACCCAAAATCACCCCCGTCACCACCACTAGAATGGAACCCCTGCCCTCTCCTCTTTAAAACCATCCCCTTTATCCTCTCTCATCACTCGATGATCGCTAGCCACAGAAACCGCGTTGATCGGCTATACTTTGCCAAATTTCAGCCGTTCTGAGCGACGACAACTCCGACCACCACCCTTAGACTCACCACCTACTACCCCACAAAATCCCCAAAGTTCCCAAGCCAGTCCACCTACTAATCGCTAGTAATCAAGGCTAGGATTTTGCTGTTTCTTAGCCAGATTTCGGCAATTCCGGTGACTAAAACTTAATCAGACACACCTCCCGACTCACCGTGATCCACCCTTTAAAATCCCCTAACCTCGATTCATGTTTCCTACTAAACGCCAGCCAAAAGTTGTCGTTTTCTGCAATTTGATTCACCCAGTTTTTCCTAAAACCAGTTGGACTGGCAGGTTGCTACAGTACCTCCGATCGAACCTTGGGTGAATCTGGGTGAAATGGCCCCCTCGGTTTTTAGGCTCTCCCAGCCCAGCTCACTGGCCAAGTCCCAGTCCAATTGGGCGAGTCGGGTTGTGCTGAGTTTTTAAACAATGTTTATAACTTTTAAAGAGGAAACAATTTGAAAGACATTCAAATGAAGAGTAGAATGAAAATTTTCAGAAATTTATCATATTTGTTTTAAGGTCCGAGTTTGAAACTAGAACACCTCTCAAACTCGAAAAAGAGTTCAACAAATTGGCAATACCCCAATACCCTCTTTCACAATCAACGTGCATGACTTTCATGACAACATATTTCGGTTTCTATTCACTTCCAAAAGCTAAGGAGTCCAATCAGTTGTATACACCATAACAACCGAACAACTTGGCAATACGAGACAAATTCAACTTTTGACATTCACAAAATCTATTTTATATAAATTTATTTTATTTTCAAACCAATTATAAATATGAAGAAACTTTTTAAAAGTCCGGTAATGGCGCCAGCCAACGGTAGGGCGCACAAAATAGAATAAAAAATTACGCGCCTTAGAGACACTGTCAAACACGCGCCGATAAAACGAAATCTACCGTTTTTTTTTTTTTTTTCTTCAGTTAAAATCCTTTCGCCTCTCAAACTTGAAATTGAAATTAAAAATGGCAATGGTAGCGGGAAATATCGGGCTCAAAATCTCGTGTTCGATTCAATTGCGCGTCTTCGTGATTCCCTGGTAAGAGTTATTACTCAATTTTGGTTTTAATATCTCTTACCATCTGTTTGGTTGTTAAGAAAGTGAAGGAAAAGAAAAGAAAATTATACATCATGGAACCATTTTCTTATTTTCGTAACTTGTAGAGCTTTCCCCAATTAATTAAATGTTAGTTCGTTATTTGTTTTGATTTATTTTCCTACTTTTTTCCTGGCAACCAAACAGAATATAAAAATGTTAGGAGAACAAGGACCTTTTTATATTTGAAATTAGGAAAAATATAATTTTTACTCAGTTATACTGCTATTTTATTTTTTTAATTTTTAATTTTTAATTTTTTTGCTTATTTTAGGGTGAGGAAAAACAATGCAATTTCGTGTGCAAAAGGGAAGGACTACAGTTCATCCGCTCCTGTTAAATATGTTCCCAAGAAGTTTTCAAAGACAAACAAAACGGAAAATTTTTTGCCGATAAAGAGTTTGGAGAGATACAAATTACCGAAAGGTGTGGATGCAAGTGAGTTGAGAATTGACGTTAGAGATGGTGGAGGTGTAAAGAGAAGTATTGCTTTGGATGAGAATGTTCTAAATCAAAGTCAGATGACTGAGAGCAATCTGTTAATTGATGATTCTAAGCGAGGTGAAATTTCCTTAACTTAGTTATGTATGGAAATGAATTTATAATTCTTTCTAATAGATTTAGAGCATGATTATTGTTGTTGTATGCATAATGCTTGCTCATTTCTATACATGAATTTCTAAAAAGAATCGAAGCAATTTCTTAGTAGGCTTTTTGTAGGTGGCATTGCTTTCAACTTTAGCGCTGTAATTCATCATGATTATTCCTCATAGGTTTAATCATGTTAGCATTATGCTTGAGATTTTTGGTCATTTTGTAGCATTTGAAGAAGAAAATGGTGATTGGGAGTTTATAGAGCATGGACTGATGGAAGAAACTGAGCAGTTTATTGAAGAACCCCAGGAGGTAGTGGAGGAGATGAAAATCCGTCAAGGAAAAGATCTTTGTAAACAAGATGTGTTACAAGGAGGTACAACCATACAGGACGCCGAGAATTTGGCAATCAAATTACTTGCAACAAGGTTAGTTTGTAGCTTTTACAAACAATAAGGATTCAGTTATCAACTTATTTAGTTGTTTCAGTTGGTATCTTGTTTGTCCATGTTTAAAGCTTTCTAGCAAAATTAGGTCACTGCTGTAGAAAAATAGGTTCATACTTAAATATATTTGTTAGATGCATGAAATAAAGCAAGTTGTTCTAATAATGCTTTTGTTCTTAGCTACACGGAAGAAAAATATTTCCTTCTTTGATATCTCATTTTTCTGTAAATTTGTATGGTTCATATTATTTGTAGTGGATTGAATTTAAAATTATATGTGCTTTTGTCTTAAGCTTGTTTTCTTCTTCGGAAGAGCATTTACAGCAGTTGAGCTTAGAAAGAAACTGAATGGAAAGAAGTTTCCTCCTAATATTGTTGAGGCAGTGATAACTGATTTTCAGAGCAGGTACATAACCATGTCCATGTTTTTCTTTTGAAGGAGTTTGTGCTACTTCTTGGTACTTCTTGGAACTACCATCATCATTTCTGAAAAGTTCACTTGGCTGGTTTCTGAAAAGTCTCTGACCTTTTTCCTGTATGGCAGAGGGCTGATCAACGATGGCTTGTATGCCAAAGCATTTTCACAGTCTGGATGGTCTACTTCAACCTGGGGACCTAGACGGATAAAGCAAGTTAGTATTTTTCTTTATAGTCATAGGTTTTACTTCATGAATTTGTATATTGTTTATGTATGGCCTCTTTTTTTTTTTTTTTTTTTTTTTTTTTTAATGAATGATCGAACTTCAGAGGTTGTCTTTCTACATCCTATAGGAAGCTAGTCCTAATATTATTGACTAATTCTTGGCGCATTTTTATTGGATCAGGCATTGTTCAACAAGGGAATAGGTGGAACTGATGCAGATAAAGCAGTAAAACTGGTTTTCCAGGATGCTGAATCTGATGGAGAGCAAGAATCAAAACTTGGCATGTCAAAGCTTTCAATGGATCAATTTTCTTTTCAGGCCAAGAAGCAATGGCTTCGAAGTCGGGATGCACCGAAAGAAACACGTAAAATAAGGATTATTTGTTGGCCTCAGTACCGTGGTTTCAACTGGGGAATTACTAGTTTCATATTGAAGAAGTTAGAATCCCAGTATCCTACCTGGAGCACAATAAACGAATTCTCTCTGATCGTGTTGTCGATGGAATGATGATCCATAGCCCATTACCTTGAAATGTAAGTTTTTTGTATGAAAAGGTTTCATTACACCCACCAGTGGAACATGCTGAAATGGCCAAAAGGTTAGTTGCTGGAGCCCATAACTGAGACAAAGTTGTGTTTATAGGTGTATGAAATGGCCAAAAGGTTTTTTATTTTTTATTTGCCACTTTTTCTTTTAACTATTTCTAACTTCAATAAATCAAGGATGTTTGTGATACTATTTCAAAAACAGTAGACCTTCCTCAGTTCGTGAAGCTCGCAATTTCTTCATCTATTTTGTCATAGGTCATATTCTTGTTTGTAGAGAAGGGATTAAAGCTGACTTAGATTAATCTGAAACTCATTTGGAGCAAACACAAAATCGTGTTCTAAATTTTTGAGTTGTTTCAATTAAGTTTACATAAATTTGAAAGATGTTTATTAAATAAATGGAATATGCTATTTTAAACTAACTCATCAAGTTAATTAACTATAATTATATATATCACATTTGTAGTATTCATTATCATCTAGCTTAACAATGCTTATAATTGATAGTTTTCGAATCGAGTATATTTATCTTACATGTAAATATTATTGATTACATGCACGAAAAACTTGCAAAGACATAAAATTTATAAAATCAATATATTTTGGGTATTCGGGTTAACGCATTGGGCTAAAGGTGGAGGGTAATTTTTGTCAAACAGTTTTTAGAATCATAAGTTGCTGAAACTGAAGAAAGACTCTGAATATTGCCTGTTAGCTTATTGCTCTTGGCAGTTATTACACGATCAAGCTTTTTAGATTGCCAATGGACCAGCAGGAAACTCACCTGAAAATTTATTGTAGCCTAAGGTCAGATTGATCAGCTTTGTGCAGTTTACAATTTCAACAGGTATTATACCTGACAACTGATTGACACTTAAGTGAAGGAATTGAAGCTTCGCAAGTTTTCCAAAACTTCTCGGTATACTGCCCATTATAAGATTCCTTGAGATATCCAAGAATGTCAACTCCGTGTAGTTTCCAAAATAATCAGGAATTGCACCCACTAAACTATTGTTCCATAATTTTAGATCCTGAAGCTTCACAAGTTTTTCAAAACTTCTCGGTATGCTGCCAGTGAGAAAATTATTAGAGGCATCAAAGATTTTCAACCCTGTGCAGTTTCCAAAATCCTCAGGAATTGCACCCTCAAAGTCGTTACCCCATAAGTCTACTTCTTGAAGCTTCATAAGTTTTACAAAGCTTCTCGGTATGCTGCCATTTAGAAGATTCGTTGAGACATCAATAAATATCAGTTCTTTGCAGCTTCCAATTTGACTTGGGATTGGACCAGAAATTGAAGTACTATACAAGAACAGGTACTGCAATTTACTGCAGTTTCCAATCTCTTCTGGGATATGACCTGACAGTTGTGTTTCATGAAGGAGTAAGTGTTGAATTCTTTTGAGCATTCCAATTGACGAAGGAATACTTCCAGAAATGTTGGTACAAGCGAAGCCTAAAAATACTAAGTTGGTGCAGTTTCCTGTCTCCATTGGTAGTTCACCTTCTAGATAAGTCCCACCAGCTCGAAATATCTGTAGCTTGCTCAATTGTCCAATAGTTTTTGGAATTTTCCCACTGAGTTGATTATCGTAGAGTGCCAGAATTGAAAGACTTGACAAATTTCCAATGCAATAAGGAATTTCGCCTTTTATAAGAAAGTTCCCGTTGAGACATAAACTTTGCAATCTATTTAGCCGGCATATTTCCTTTGGGATTTCACCTGAAAGAGAATTGTCACTGAGATCAATGAGAGTGAGCTCACGATATTCTCCAAGTTCTTTTGGGATTGTGCCAGTGAGATTGCAAGATGATATAGTAAGATTCTTCAAGGACTTGAGAGACTGGAAATTTGAAGGCAATGGACCTTCCAATTCTACTCCATTCAGGAATATATTCACCACTTCTTCATTTGAGTTGCAGTAGATCCCTAACCATTTGCATGGACTGGAGTCTGCAGAATTCCAATTTTTCAATGCATCAGTGGGGCTGCTTAAACTGTTCTTCCATGTTAAAAGAGCTTGGCCTTGTTCATCAATAGAATAACAAGTAGAGAGGAGAAGAGAGTTTATTGACAGAACCAAGGTGATGAAGGAGAAAATATTTGGATAAAACAAGCTATTCATTACAGTTTTAGGCATTGCTTAGAGATGATAAGAGAGGTGATTTATATCGGAATTGTAAAAGAAATCCAGGGCAAGTATTTAAAAGCTGATTCCATTTCCCTGTTCCCACACGCACAAAGGAAATTATTTTCATTGTTAATTAATGCAATGTAACTGTCACGAACAATTCTTTGGGGATTTTTAAGTATATTTTTAAATTTGACAAGAGGGATGTATTTGCTAGTTTCTGAAGTCGGTGATAGACAATAAATTTTTTTCAGCATTCCAATTGACGAAGGAAAGACTTCTGGAAAATTAAACCATAAATAATGGTGTGAAACAGTGAAACGTGTGGCACAATGCCACAATCACCACAATGTCCATCACAAGCACACGGCAGCGCATTTTTTCTAATAATGTAATAAAAAAATGCCACCAATCTATCAGTCACATACAACTTTTCTCCTTTCGGTGGTGTAAATTATTGATTGTATTAGCTAATGAACAGGAAGTCTCTTTGGATTGAGACACATTCATATTGTATTATAAATTCTTCACTTTTTATTATCACTATATACCAATTTTCTTTGTTATCTTTTTGAATCGTCATTTAAGTTTTGATACTTTATTTTCTATTGTTTTTTTTTTTAATGATGAAGATGATAAGTTTCTGGTAGTGGGGAGGTGCAAATATCATTTACCTTCTAATTAGATAATGAACTCAAATAACCCAAGAGTGTAAATTCAACCATAAACGATGGTGTGAATAAGCCAATCGTGTGTAGACCGACAAAACAGGTTTATATTTGTGGGTATCTGTTTAAAAAAGGGGTATGGATCCATAAATCTAGACCCTTGTTTCGATCCGTACTCGGTTCGGTCCCCTTTTTTTGCGGGTAGGCCAGGTATACCCACGGGTACCCGTGAAAAAAAAATTTCAAATTTATAAAATCTTATTTGACAAATAAAATATATATTATATATTTACTAGGGAATACTCTTTTTGATTAAATCTCTTAAGAGTTTTAATACACTGATGTTGAAGCAAGATAAGTTAATTAAGAGTTTATGTGATGCTAACCCCATATGTAAATAGAGACGCCTAGTAATTTCTAAATCCCTACATTTTAATCAATTAATGGATATAATTTGGTATGAACTTTTGATTATGTTATATTATTGAGTTATAAAATTGAGCTGGTGTTCAATAAAATTCATATGAGGGGCACTTGCGAAATTTTCAGATTATCCAATTGTATTAATTTGTAACACTTATAATTTAAAAATCTTTATTTTAGTTGTTTAATATATTTATAATTTTCCTAATTATATCATAGCAATTGGTAAGTCCTAATAATAAGGAACGACTCAGCCCCAGTCAATACGCAAAATGCCCAACTTTTGTGACAATTTAAATTGATGAGAAATTGAGTTGGTTGTGTGGTGAATTTTATTGAATTTGGAGGATTTGATGGTAAGGGTGTGATTGTAAGAAATGAAAATTGTAATGTAATGCTAAGTGTAGTATTGCCCATAAAAAAATGTCACCAATCTATCAGTCACATACAACTTTTCTCCTTTCGGTGGTGTAAATTACTGATTGTATTAGCTAATGAACTGAAAGTCTATTTGATTGAGACACCGTCATTTTATATTATAAATTCTTCACTTTTTATTATCACTATATACCAATTTTCATTGTCGTCTTTTTGAATCTTCATTTAAGTAATGTTTCTTTATTTTCTATTCTCTGTTTTTGAATGATGAAGATGATACGTTTCTGGTAGTGGGAAGCAGGACCGGACCCAACCCCTTTGAGTGCAGCCTCAAATTTCGAGGAAAAAAACAATTTTTATATAAAAAAGTCATGCTAGAATCTCTCATTTGGGATTATGTCTGTCTTTACTAGTTTGACATTTATGTCCTTCTTTCTTTTAATTTAAGTCTATATCATATGTCACACAAATTACTATTAACTGTAATTTTTTATTTTATGACATAGTCTCACTGTCTTTCATCCCTTCATCTAATTAATTACTTCGCAGACACGATTCCCTCTACTATTAAAAGATTTTATGCGATAACTTACGCCCTTTTTTAATATAAATAAAAATTAATAATTTATACAATTACTAATAATCTACTTAATAATTATCATTATCTTTCCCTAATTTTAATAAATTTCAAAGATTATGTTATATTATTTTCACAATCTATCCTCTAATTAATGACAATCACGTGACGTAGTTAAAAAAAAAAATCAGGTTATAATTCAATTTGAATCATTCATTGAACTTTGATCGAGTAAGCAAAGTTGTTTACTATTTAATTTTTTAAAGAACTTAATCATATAAAACATTACTTTAAAAGTGCATATAACTCAACTCATTTATCCATTCGATCCTTGCTTCTTCCCTTCCAATTTCATCACAAATTTTCATCAAACATCAATAACACCAATTGGTAAGAGAAAAACTTGAATTGAAACCAAATTAGGTCAAGATTTAGGGTTTAGGGTTTTTTTAGCTCTATTCACATTTAAGATGTTTTTCACACAAATTTTTTTGTGTGTTTCCTATTGAATTGAATTGGATGTTATTTTCAATACATCTGTTTAAGGTTTTGCTTCTCATAAGTTTATTCAAGTAGGGAAGTATTGTTTTATTGCATTATTTCTTTTCAGTTTTTTGATATTGCATTATTTCCTTTGCTCAAGGTTTGATGATTTTTTAAAGTTTCCACTAGTTAATTGACAAACAATAGTGGAGCCGCAGAGACCCCCCATTGGGAAAAAGTCCTAGGTCCGCAATAGTGGGAAGGTGCAAATCATTAACCTTCTAATTAGATATTGAACTTAAATAGCCCAAGAGTTTATGTAAATTCCACCATAAATAATGGTGCCAAAAAGCCAATCGTGTGGCACAATGCCACAATAATAACATACATTTTAAATGATATTTTGATTTCATATTCTAAATAAGGTGTTATAATATTTAAAATTGAATATAATAAACTAATGATATATTAAATATGATATGGTGTTTGCAAGAATCCTATTTGAGTTTGTATATTGCATATACATGACCAGACCTTGTAGGAGGAAGAAGTGTAAAGAAGGAATTTTGAAAGAAAGAAGAAGAGATAGAAATCTCTAGGAAAAGAGTGACGTGGCAAGTGTAGGCTGAGCTAGAAAAAAAGGCATAATGCAGTTCTCAGGATGTGTTTTCTAAATTTTCTCTCATTTTCCCTCTTTTTCTCTCGCTTCAAACATCGCAAATCATCACTTAATTACCAAAAAAATCTATATTGAAGTCCTCTCAAGACCTTTACCGGAAGCAATAGCAATTTTGAGTGTTGATAAAATTAATAATCTCACAAGGTCCGTTTAGGGCTGTCTCAAGAACATTTATGACCCTAGACAAGAATTACTTAATTTGAGGCCCTTTTAATAATATAAGCATATATTAAAAAGTTATTTAAAATTTATTTTTCTTGCCTTTTGAGATACAAAATCACTAATTAAATTTTTATATTCAAGTTTAGAAACCAAATCTTTTTCAATTGATAATATAGTCAAATTAGCTAATCTTTCTTGTGACATAGTTGAACGTAAATAAGATTTTATTAACTTTAATTTTGAAAAACTTCTTTCTGTTGAAGCTACGGGAATAGTTAATAGTATTCTATAAGCTATTCATACATTTGGAAAATAATTCACATTTTTTATAAAATCTAGTATCTCAAGCGGTGTTTTAGTTTCCATGTTCATAATTTCTTTTAAAACTTTTAGTTCTGAATATAAATCTAAACCATCAATATCAGAGAACGTGTCATGTTTTAAAACGTTTTCAAGATTTAAACAATTTTTCTTCAAATTATCATCATCAAGCAATTTTAACTTTTCTATATTATAAAGGAAACCAAAATTATCACTATGTATTTCAAATTGTTTAAACCTACTTTGTAGTGGGGAAATGACATGATCAACTAAATATGTGAAATAATTTATTCTAAAAGATTCTTCAACATACAGTTTCATCTCTTCGTGTTCATTCTCATCAAATTGTTTTTTTGTTTTTCTCTTTCTTGTACGTTTTTCACAAAATTTTGATTCTATATTCATTTGCTCTACAATCTCTCTAGCAGAAATCATAGAAGATGTAAACCCAGTTTCTCTATATTTTTCAAAAATGAAACAAGACCTTTCAGCTGATTTGTTGCAACAACAATGTCCATATTTTTAGATTGCAAATATTTACTAACTGTATTAACAGCAAATAACATTTCCTACCAAATAATCATGCCTAATAGAAATTAAAAATTTTCAATCTTATATGTTACTAAAGAAATAGCTTCACTTTTTGTTTTAGGATCTTCACTAGTTTCTGCTAATTGATATAAAGCATCTCTTATTTGTGGAGCTTGAAATTTTATTGCTTTAACACTTCCAACACGACTTTCCCAACATGTTTGTGATGATGGCTCAAGTGTCAAATTAGAAACATGATCTTGCAAAATTTTCCATCATTTTGTAGAAAAGGAAAATAATGAGTATATTTTTTGTGTCACTCCAAAAAATGTAATAACATTAGCACGTAAATTAGTCATATCACAAATAACTAAATTAAGACTGTAACAACCACATGGTGTATAAAATGCTCTAGAATTTATATCTAATAATCTTTTTTGCACACCTTGTTGTTTACCTTTCATATTAGACTCATTATCATATCCTTGTCTTTTCACATTATTTATATCAAGTTTAAGATTTTTTAGTATAATTGTGAGTACATTAAAAAGACCTTGACCAGAAGTATCATCCACTTTTATAAAATCTATTAAGTACTTTTCTATTTTTATTGGACTTGTTAAAATATCTACACATCTTAATATAAGTGACATTTGTTCATGATGACTTATATTTGGGGTACAATCAAGTATAACTGAAAAATATTTTGATTCTTTGATTTTTTTTTTTTTTTTTTAATAATGATATTTCTTATTTCTAATGGTAAAATATTTATCAACTCATTTTG